CTGATCATCTCCTTCTGAACGCCCCATGATTTGGGAGCATCTCTTGATTCTGCGTCGAAGTACAAAAAGAGCAAAGCAAAAGAAAAAAAGCAAGAAAAAAAGAAATATGCAATCTGCCCGTCGCCCTTCAGGTGTATGTATGCACATACATCTGTTCATGTGTGCCTACACCTGAACAGATGCGGAGATATTTTAATTATTTTACCTCGAAATGCTGTTGGCTTTCGCGATATTCATCACCAGCTGCCAATACGCCTCAGGGTTTCTTCCTATTTCTTCGCTAGCCCAAAGAAAGCGAACATTTTCCATATTCATACCGGCGGATTTCCACACTTCTACGAAATATTCTCCTACTTTTCGAATCTTAGAAGAAAAAGACAAAAAAAAACAGAAAAAGAACACCAGCATCACCTGCAGGTACAGTTCGGGTGTATAGGCAGCTCCGCACGAGAAAACTTGAATAGCAGCATCATCCTTCTCTTCATTAGTATAATTTCTACGGTTATTTTGCATAATAAATGAATATTTTTATCATTATTTTAATTTATTTCAGCTTCCGCATACTTTTTTTAAGTCGCCGCCCATTTTGTTGTTCAGCATTGCAAACCAATCCGCCACCCAGAAGACAAACACACACCCAGCACTTGTTAATCTATTCACGTTCTTCACTTTCAACAAACCCTGCGCTATGTGCATGCGCCCGCTCGGTTCAAAGCCATCATACGCCACAGGGCAGGCCTTCCTCTCCAAGAGAGCACGGAGTTCCTGCAGCAGCAGCAGTAGCAGCAGCAGCAAGGGCAACGCATGAAAAAGAAATCTCGATAAAGAACGAACAACAACGAACACCCAAGCTGCATGAAGTGCAGTTTGTATAACGGCGGAAGCGAATTCTGAAGAAGTGTACAGACAGCTGAAATGCAGCACGAGTACAGCGCCCGTTGCTGCAGCATATTCACTAAACCCGCTTCACCTCCTGTTGAATGCACTCCTCTGCTACGGCCAAACAACGCGCAAAACGATCGTCAAGGCTCAGAGTAGAAGGCACAGGAGGGGGAAATCGAGCGAAGATACTGGCGCTGGGATTGCTGCTGCTGCTGCTGCTGCTGCTGCTGCCGTTGCAGATGTTGCTGCTGCTTTTGCTGCTGCTGCTGCTGCTGCTGCTGCTGCTGCTGCTGCTCTGCGCAGCGCCTCCCGGGGACGGCGGCCTAGCAGCTGTGGCGAGGGCGGCGGAGAGTAAGAAACTGAGGTCCTGAAGACACCGCAGGAAGACAGCGCAGAATAAACGTAATGTCAGAAGTGTAGACAAAGGAATAACTGCACAGAAGAATTCCTTGTGGGTAAGCCCCTTAGAAAGTGAATAACAGAATCTATAAGAATAATGCATGAACAAACAAACAGCCATAACACTGTTGCGTAGTTTTGTCTGTAATAAGCTGCAAACAGTTAAGGAGATGTTCCTTTCATATTCACACACGTCTTTATAAGCGTTGATTTGTTCCTGTTTGGATGATGCATGAAACAGACAAAGACGAAGACGCCAGGCAACGGTCTTCTTCCGCATAGTGTGTAGGCAGGAGAGGTATGTATATACATATACATATGTATATGCATGTAATGGGGAATGAATGGAAGGAAATACTTACACGTTCATTTGCATTAACATCTCCAGAGTGGAAATGAGAGTCCCAGAAGGAGAGGCCGCCTGTGAACGGCGAAGTCATTTTGAAAGAGTTGGCGGCGGCTCTGCTGAGTAGACGGCTGAATTGAGGGGTGTTTAGAGGAAAAAATAGAGAAAATCGTTCAAAATGTGGCGAGTTAATACTTGGAAACGAAAAAGGAACAAAAGAAAATATATGAAATGAAGTTGAAGAGGAGGAAAATAACGGAAAACGGAACAAAAGAAAATATATGAAATGAAGTTGAAGAGGAGGAAAATAACGGAAAACGCCAATGAGGTGAACAGACACCCGAAGCGCCGCGCACTGTGAGCATAGACGGGAGGCGGTGGTGATCTTCAAGCCTTCCGCTTACTTTTGTTGAATATTTCGAGTTAAAATAGAATAAATCCACAAAATAATTCAAGATCAAACAATGCAGTCGCAACACAACATGAATAAAGCCCCAAAAAACCCAAGCCCCGACAGGCAGCAAAGGATGACGATGGTGATTCTAAAGGAAACAAGTGGTGGCGGTATTGCAGGCCTTTTATTTCTTCTAAATTTCTTCTTTTAACCGTTTAAAATTAAATAATTCACAGAAAAAGGTATGTTAGGCGCAGCCACTAAACCACGCCCCGGTGTATGGACTCGTATGCAAGAAAGCAAGTTAACCCCCCTTTGAGTTGTTCATTGTCTGTTGTTATTACCAGCAGAAATATTCAACCACTCAATTTCTCTTTTATGCATCGCATGTAGTAAATCCTCTCTTCTTACAGCTCCCGGCTGGGCCAGGGGTGGTTGTTGTTGGTTAGTATACTTCTTTGAATCAATCTTGCAGATTGATTTTTCTGTTATTTCTGCTGTTTGTTTTGGCTGGAGTTGGTGGTGCTCGCTGAGATGTCCGCCTTTAAACCGCCCAGCAGATCTTTAGCTCCTCTCTACCGCCAGTTTCTTCGCGCTTGCGGAAAGACATTCAAAGGGGACTTCGAAGCCCAACGAACAATTTACAGAGAAATGCGAAATGTAATTCGCTATAACACTCTCAAGTTGTCGGAAGAAGAACTAAAAAAGGAACTCAATATGGCCATTGACTTCGTCCGGTAAGCATATATATTATATATATATATATATATTATATGTTTATGTATATATACGCATATATATATGCACCCCGCCACTCCGATATATATATATATATATACATACATATATAATATAACGTTTTAGAATATATCTGCATTGTACGTACACCTCCGTCACAACACCAGCGTAATATTATTGTTTGTGTCTTCCTGCTTCACTGTCTTTGTTTGTTTTTATCTGCAGTTATCACATTGTGCAGGCGGAGTTAAATGAGAAGACCGGCAGTTACAAAGCCGTAGTGACTGACGACCACATTAAAAAGGGAGATGTAATTAATTTAAATGAAGTCGACCCCAAACAACTCCAAAAACTGCCCTGGCTTAAACCACCAAAAGAAGCAACTTTCTAACAACAATATATATATATATATATATATATATATATATGTTGCTGCTATATATATATATATATATATGTATGTATATATATATATATACCAACATATGGATATGCTAATATATATTTATATATGTCTGTGTATATAGATATATGTACATATATATAATACATATATATATATATATGTATATGCATATCCTAATATAGACATATATATGTATGTATGTATGATCTATATATTTATATATGAATTTGTTTTTACGGTTGGTTGTCATTAGAGGCAGACTCTGCTGTTGCTGCAGGGCCTCCACTCTCTCTTTATTTTTAAAAGAGAGGAAGATGAGCGGTATAATGAACAAACAGCGGCACTGTTTATATCTGTTTATATCTTTTGCGTCTGAGTATTAATAAAGGCTTTGTTATTATTTATAGTTGTCGGTAGATAATATATTATTGTAATATTATAGCTGTTTGTATTCGATTAGTTTGAGGCATTTAATATTAATGAATTTCGGCTCTATAATTTGAGCTTTGATTTATCAGTGCGGAGTTTATTTTAACAAGATGATAATAAAATGAAGTTATTAATGTAAAGATGAATGCAATTACACAAAAAGATATTTGCTTCAGGCGCCTCTACGCTGCTGCTGTTAAAAGAGAATACACCCCAGCAAAACTCCCTAATAGAGCGGATTGCGTGCAATTGACTCCTTTTGCTGCTGTTGCTGCTGCTGTTGCTGCTGCTGTTGCTGCTGTCTCAAGCTACACAGGAGGGTTGAAGTGGTCAATGATAAAGGGAATAGAAATGTACACCTAAGTAGCAGCAGCTGAAGTTTCATACGCAGATGTCATTGTTAATGCGGGTGATGGCTGGAGGATTCATTTAGACGGATGGGGCATCGGCTGAGGAGCAGCCCGCTTCGCTTCGGAAGAACGGCCAAACAACAATTCAACAAACAAATTCAGTTTCATTTCCCCTTTTTTATTCAGAATAATGCCTCTGCCTTTGCTAGAAACACCCTTTTCTCGGGTCTTAATAATGAACAAGCAGACAGAGATCGTTTAAGCTCAGTGCGGTGTGATGGAGCAGACGGTTTGATTGCTGTGTTCATCAGACTTGCATGAAGGCAGAGAGAAATAAACACAAATGAATAAGAAAAGGCATTAAAGATATTAGTTTCAGTTTTGGAATAATGAGATATGACTATTTCACGGCATAAATAATAAATTATGAAAAGTAAGAAGAAGGCTTTCGCCATCGATTGCTGCCTCATGCTCGTCGGGTGTCTGTACACCGGAAACCCCGTGGGTTTCTTCCCTCTCAATCTCGTACTTCTCTGGGTAAAACACTGAAATAAAGCAAAACTATGAAGTTAAAACATATTTTTATTCTTTTTCTCCTATTAAAGGTAGGTTTAAGCCCTCCTGGCAACTTTCATCGCCTGCAGCCCTATACTTCGCGCACCGCCAGGGCTTGAATGGATGACTCTGGAATTAACTCTTTTTCAATGGCTTGAGAGTGGAAACTTGAGGGGAAAAGTTGAATAATAAAGAGATTTGTTAAAATATGCAAGGTAGAAGTGAATTTTTATCGAGTTTCCCTTGCAAGTTGTACGACGCGAACACTGCGCTGCTCGTAGGCGGTCTATTACATTTTTCTTTATCTTCTATCTCGAGACCTCGAGAATGTTTTCAGACGAAAATATCACTCGCTTGATTCCCCCTGAAGAAAAACAAAAAAAGAAGAAACCCCTGAGGAAATCCATACATAGCGGCCTCTGCCCGCCTTCTTATTCAACTTTCGGTCTCAAAGGGACTTCCAAACCCGGCGTTCAAAATGTAGGCGGTGCGTGGCAGTGAAAGACAGATAAAAACAGCAGCAAATAAACTATCTAAAGCTGCATATTTATATGTATATATATATATGTGGATGTATGCATGAGCATATGCATGTATATTTACATTATATATGTATTAGTTATATAGTGTATTATATATATTATATATACATATATATACATACATAATATATGCATGAATGTATGGAAGGAGAATTGCATGAAAAGACGGCGGTGTATGTATGCGTGTAGGTGAAGAGCAGCACCTAAATCAGCATCATAAACATTTAAATATATATATATATATCTCTTTGCTGTTGATTGTTTTACGCATTTCTTTTTCTTTTTCTGCTGCAGGCAGCACTAAAGTAGAAGCAGAGGGTCATCATGAATTCGTCAAAGGAGCAGCAAACTTAGGGCCCCCTCTAAACAGCATAAAGCCTTCACCACAGTCTCCACTGCAAAAACAATCAAAGACACAACCCGTTAAAACTCTTTCTCAGATTAAACACTCAAACCCGCATTTACTTCAATCCTCCAAACATAAACCCAAAATCAAACCCCAAGTACCTAAGGCATCCGAACGCCCTGTAAGACAAACATATATATATATATATATACATATTATATATATATATTTATATATGTATATATGTTTATAAATAATATATATATATATATATATGTATGCATATATGCATAAATAATATACATAGATTTGCTAGATAGTTGTTTATCTATTGATTTATTTGTTTTGCATTTTTGTGTATTCAATCACCTACGTATTTATTTATTTATTTATTTATTTATTTATTTATCTATTTGCTTATATTTATACCGCTAGTTCAAAAGCAAATATGTTGAATAGCAGCGAAGTGAAGACGAAAAAGAGTTGAGAGGGAAGCCAGCATATTATATATATATACAAAATATATTTTTATTTTTTTATATTCACCAAGACAAAGACGAAAAAATAAAATATTTGTCTGTCTTTTTCTGCATAGATGCATTCAATGATTGAATTAAATTTGAAGTACATTTAATTTGTTCAATAAACAAATAAAAAGGCTGCACTCTGTTTCTTATTATTATCTGTTTATATTTATAAACAGATAATATTAAGAAACAGAATATATATAATATATACATATTATATATATATATATATTACAGTACTTGAATTAATATTGCAATAGAAATAAAGATAGAGAATAGCGAATAAACATAAATTCACACATAGCATTATTTTCTGTTCATTTTAATTTTATTTCTTGTACATTTATTTTCTTCTTTTATTTTCTTTTATCTGCATTATCTCTTTTATAGATATTCGGAGTGAAGTCGTCTATGAACTTCGTAAAGTATAATGCAATTATAAATATGTTGTCTCGTCCTCCTCAAACAAAACCCGAAAAAAACTTTTTAAAGAAAGAAGAGTATGGACAGACTCCAAAATATTTAAATGAAGTTAAAGACGAAGTTCAAAAAGAATACGATTTTATACGTTCACTGCGAGATAAACATCAACAGGTACGGAGACATATTATTATTATTTTTTATCTTATTTTGTTAGTGTTATTATTATTTGGTTGTGCTGCTTTTATTAGTATTATAATTATATTGTTTTGCTGCTTTCTCTGCAATTCTCTATCGCACCGAGCAAATGCGTTTCTTGAAATGAAGAAAACAAGATAAAATAAAATAAAATAAAATAAAATAAAATAAAATAAAATAAAATAAAGAGAGAAGTTTGTTTGTTATTTATTGTATGCAGGAAGGAAAAGAAGAAGTGCGTGTTCTATCAGAAGAAGAGAGATTGAGTTTATTAAAAGATTTAAACACAAAATATGATAAAATAAACAAAGAATATCAGCACTTAGCTTTTACAGGGTTAACGGATTCTATTAGCAAAGAAAGAAGAAAAGATTTTTGTGAAGAACAACTCGCTAAACTTGAACGTTATATTGATACACTTAAATCTTCAACTATATATATAATTAGAGATCCCAAGTAAATAGTATTATTAGAAGGTTTATTCATTAAATATTAATTTAAGTCTATTTATTTACTCTACTATTATACTTCTTTTGTTTCAATAAACAAATCAAACATTTATTTATATTAAAGAAATATTTCTCTCAATGTCTGCATGCAACAAACCATCAAACATAAAAATTTTCTTCTTTATTTCAAAGTAAATAAAGATATAAATATATTTATATTTACATAATAAATATATATTTATTCGTTTGCTTTACACAATTTATTTATTTATTTATTTATTTATTTATTTATTTATTAATTTATTTATTTAATTGTTTTGTTTATATATCTATAAAATAACGCTCTTAGACGGAGCGTCTAAAGCAAAACCAGCGAAAAAAGAAAATACAGCAGAGA